ATGCCAAGGAAACCACTCCCATCTTGCATTATAAAGTAAATTATCTGCTCTTGAGTTAATGAAAAGGTCACGGCCATTGTTAATCGCACGCGGACACCATTGGCTAGTATCCTTTCCTTGATTATCCGTATTCCAACATTGAATCGGGTGGGAATAGTACTATGTGATATCGACTCGATAGTTATGTGTTTCACTACAATAAATAACAATGCATCCGACGTTAAATCGGTTGTGCATTATCCGTGTTGTTGAAGTGTCGAGGCGAACCACACAGTTTCATGCAATATAAATGCAATCTCCAAACGTAAAGCTGATTATTTGCGTGAAACAGACACTAATTTCAGTGCCATTTCTAAAATGACTAAAATGATCTTAGCTCCTTACAATTGGTCCGGACCAATTGTAAGTTTCGATTGTAACTTACAATGATCTTAGCCTACAATTGCTTTGTGCAAGTAGATGGCGATTGTAACCGAAGCCTAAGATCGCGATCTTAAGGATTTACAATAATTGTAGCGCTAAGATCGTTCTGTGCAAGTGGGCCCAGGTCTGACAAACGGTTCATTCGCAGGAAGGCGACTTTTGAGTTTTAGCTTTTCGCTCGAAGGCGAAACATGGTACCCTTTCATGTTGAGTGTTGTTACAGTAATGTTTATGTAAGGTCTTACCGGGACATTAACCCCCTGGATGCCACAGGGACATATATGTCCTTCCCCTTCAACCCTCAATTTCAAGTCCAATAAAAATCCAAATATCCCACGCACACAAATACACTTCACAGTTTTGAATTCTGCGGGAAATTTCCTGTTTCTTGATACCATCCACTATTATTTTAGACAAAGCTCAAGGGCTGAAAATGACCTTTCAAAATAGGCTTCATCGAAAATGTTGCCATTTTTGACACAGTTCGAAATCGCGATTCTCAGCGTTATTTGCTGTATGTTTTGAAATGTGAAAATCGGACAATTACTGGGAGTATTGAATTTCAAAAATAACATATTCATGATCACTGATATCAGTTTTACATGAAATCGCTAATTATAATTCTGAAACGTTGCCGATGAACCTAGAATCGGTTGGGATGTTTTCGAAAATGCACTTACACGAACGCCGTAGAGAGCTTTCCGCCATATTGGATAGTGTTTACAAAATCACGCTTGGCGAATGCCGGTATTGAGACGCATATACATCACGTATATTTCATATTCAGCTTCGAAAAATGCATCACTAAATTCCCCATACATTTTAGAATCAAATTGCAACTGGTCTGTGTCACCAATACCAACTGTCTAGATGAAATGAGACGAAACATATTGGGTGTGAAAACGAACGCTGTGCTTGAAAGACTGCACTTGTCTGAAATGTAAACAAAGCCAAATTCTGATTTTACACTGCGTAGCATTTTCTGACATTTTTCAATATTCATCTGTCTATTCATTGCTTGCAATGGCTCAATACATTTTGAATATGTATGGAAAGAGTATCGTAGCGAACAATAGGAAATTATAAATAGATACAATGCAATGATTTGATAATTCATAAGAAATTGTCAAAGTTTCCGTGCAGCGTGACGCCATGACTGACGCAAAATCACGCAGAACGACAACGGTAATTATCTGCATTTCTGGCTTTTTCTCTTACTTACAGTGATAACAGATAAAAACATATAACAATACACAGATAGTCAGAATCATTCTGATTACTTACATCTCATATTTATGTACAAACGATCCCTGAATCAATGGAAGGGTCCTTGCAAAACCCTGTCTACCCTTGTCAGCAAAGCCGCCATTTTGTAAGAAATTGGTCAGCGGTAGTGATGTCATACATTGTTCTACATATTAGGCAATTTCTTTGCGATGAAGGTCGGTTGAACAAGAGTAAACACAATCGCCCAATCCTTCCGATTACACTGTCAGTATTATGGTGTATATTTTGCGTATAGTTCAGATACTTTTTCATGAAACTGACTTCAGTATCTAAATTTAGCCTTGTTCAATATCATACCATACGTGCATATAGGGTTTACGGTGTTTTATTCTTTGAACGTTTTTGATTGTTTGAATCATATTTACATAAGAAATTGACATATTTAGTGCAATACACCATGTTCTAAACCTTTACACAAGTGTTAGAAGATCAAACGTAGCAATAACTGCAACTACTTTAGTTCCTATGATGTACAATATTCAATTTATTTGGACTAATATTGCAATTTCATATGAACAGGTTAATGAACGGTGATTTAATTCAACCTTATGTAAAACTGATAATATTAATGAAAATGATTTATATATGGTATGAAATGTATATGCACACATATTTAAAGTAATTGTCTTGTTCATTGCATAATTTTGTGTCGTTTTATAGACAAAAGAATGATGCATATTGATCGGCCAGGTGCGCGTTTGTTGGAAACGTTTTATGATTCTCTATCATTGTTTTCGATAATATAATCAATTCATATTCGATTAGATATTATTGTGATGGCAGGATATCAAACTCTATCTACATTTATAGGAAAATTGTTGAAAAATACATATACTATCTCATGTGTTAATTCGGACAAATCTTACATCCATATTCTAATATATAGTTCCATATATAAAAAGCTATCTTTTTGCATCTTTCATTGTCTACGTATGAAGAGAAATAGCTACATAATCATAAACAAACAAAATTCTTATCCCAAACAAAATATTCGGGTGTTGTGAAATATTATTTTTATTTACGTTACATTGATGCCAAACAGGTGCGCGTGTTGTTCACAATAAGATACACTGTCAAACCGTCTTAATTGTCGATATATTCAGGACACTATTTAAATGGAAAAATCAGTCATTTCATGTTTTGTCTAAAGAGTGTTAAATTCTGATGTAGAAGCCGAGACCTTTTATACAATTAATGGAAATTAGGGGAGATATATATACTAATCAGCATACCAATGTCGTCTTTTTCCGACGTCGCAAAATGCATAAAACAAGCAATTACGTCAACTAAAATCATGTTGTATTATTTTCAGCAATTTCATTCCATTTGAAGATATGGCTAGTATTCTGGTAATAACGATGCAAAATTAGTCAAATTACATCTACACAAACAGGAGAATATGGGAATCTAAGAACTGACTTATATATCAGATAGGGCCATCCAAATCGCTATTACGTGCTTTGACATGTATTACGTTGTCATTTTTCTTGTAAATTTTGAAACTACCAAACTGCATCCGCTCACATTGGGAAACTTTGAATTGGAATAGTTTGGTTCACCATGAACATAAAATAACGAAAATATAGCGTCCGTATCCACAAAAAATTCTCTCCAAGTGATCTGAGTTACATTGACCTAGTGTTACGCATAACGGAGTTATGCCCCCTTATCATTATACGTGTAGGACCTTTCTGTCGCCGTTTGACGCCGTTTGACGTCGTTTGACGTCATAGAAGAAAATCCATTTTTGACATTTATTGCAAGTCATTTTTAATGTTGAGCGTATAATGTTATGCACAAGCACATAAACCCAATTCATATACACTTATGTCGTTCAGATATCAGGCTGTATTTTCTTCGCTCACACTTTCTGTAAAGATGCCACATTGAAATATTCGTAGCACAGTGCTTTTATCGGTGCGCAATAAAAAGCGGATAAATTTACTGTTTTTTAAACACATAACAAACTTTGGACAACATTTAGCAGTGTCTATTTCTCAAACCGCCAAGGTAGTTGTACTTATATTTATACCAACAGATAGGAAATTTAATATTCTACATTTCTGTGTAATCATAAAGCCGTACGTAGATCCAGGACCACGCAAGCGCAATTCTCGCACAACGATCACTTTTCAAACCGTATGAAACTGTGCGCCTGAAAAAAAACTCTGCATCAAGGGGGTTAACAGGGGAGTAGCGTAAGGGTGGCGACCAAATTTGTACTAATTTCTACGTGAACACAGTTCATGGGTCGTTCATGACACTGATTTCATGAATAGTTTTTGCCGAACTGTTATTTACAACTGATTGGTTGTCATAAGAATTGTGAGTTCGTATCAATCGCATAAAACAGCAATGTCAACAGTTTTATAAAAATATGCCGGTACAAGAGTCACCATTACTCAATTTCTGAGACATGGCGAACACACAGCTATAGTACAAGTATCAAGAACAAACAACAACCTTGAAGGTTGCCATGGGTGCTTGAAGAAGTTGGTTGGCAAGGAAATAAAATCAGCATGTTAGATGATACTTTGTACATAATTGAATGATTAAGAAGGACAGTGGGAGTGAAATATTTTGTACATATGTATGTTTCCTTCCTCTGGGATTAGGGTTCTTGTGTAAACACCAGAACCCATTTTGTTGCAAATGCCCACCTTTTTCGCACAAAGAAGAAAACGAAGAACGGCCCATGTTTTTACACGCCCAAAAAAGTCGCCTACCTGCGAAGACACCCTGACAAACAGTCCATGTTGAGGTAGCAACCTGTTTGTTTACTTTATCCAATCTGCCCAGTCTCTTTGTACATTGATCTTACTTTCAATGTGCTCAAGAACTATAATACCAGATAACAATGTATTGTGCTGGTTTTTGCATTTTGGAAATGTCAAGTGTTTGCACATATGTGTTGCAGTTTTCAGATAAAACCCCTGAATGCTAAAAAAAACCACCATGTTTTGTCCGTGTAATGCAATTTGTGTACATGTGTACCTGTACTACTAAGTAGTGGGACTTATTTCTTAGCAATGTTTTATTCCAACCTTTATTTGTCATTGGTGGTATGAAAATGTGCTTATAATCTCCTATGAAATTGCCAGAGTGACAGCTGAAATTTTGATAAAAGTCCCCATTGTGAGTGTGATGTAAAAAATAGCTTTCAAATACTCTCACATTCAGCCAATTGGAAGCTGTTGCAACAGAATAAAATCAATGTAGTCAAACGTAAAACCTAGCCTTTGGTACTCCTTGCCCAGGTAATATAATCTGCTTCTTATTTCTTTCTTCAGAGATCATGAACACCTGTTCACCAAACATAACAGCTGTGTCATTGACTATGCCTTGGAAACAAGCCGTGAGTATTGTAATCTTGTTGAGTCAACTGGTCACAAACTATCACAAGGTGTACTGTAAATAATGAAATCAATGTGTCAACAAGACCATGCAAGTGCCAGCACCTAAGTCAAATGTGTAACAAACAGCAACAGTAATTATGTGTGGCATTAGGCGTTGCATTGAAAGATCGGGTTTATCTTTCTCACGTATTTGTGTTCTACTTGACCTGAGACGTATGAAGATCAAGGTTGGAGTTTGTCTTCAGGAACCCATTCTTGTCATAAGAAGTGCCTAATGGAAAAGGGTGCATGATAAATTGAAACTGCGTAGGTCGATGCTCATAAATATTCTAAAATACCTTTGATGTCATCTCTGTGCTTCATGTTAAAAAGCTCTGTATGTTTAGGAATACAGTACTTCAGACAAACTGGAACACAACAATAATTACTCGTTTGGGGCATGTTTTATAAATCTTAAGATAACTTTGGATAGTTTTGATTCATCACAGTTTTCTTCAATATCAGGTGACTGTTCAAATGCTCAAATAAGGTCACCAAAGACTGAAGAAGCAGCAACCAGAGTTACCTCCCCACAGAACAGGTAACATTGAACTTCCTTGTATCATGTATAAGAGTGATCTACAATACTGAGCTATGTATACGTTAGCACCCTCCTCAAGGGTGATATGGATTTCAACGCTCGAGCCGTAAGGCGAGAGCATTGAATCCATATCACCCGCAGAGGGGGGGTGCTAACCTACTTATACCACGTGGGCGCCGAATGGACTCGTACATTGCTTGTTGCACGTGCGTTTCCTGCACCGCCGAGGTTGTTATCCACATATCAACCTCTGCACGTGCAGATAGAAGGTTGATACACAGAAAATCAACCTGCCAGAACAATGGACATAACACAGCCTAGTGGTATAATCCAACATAACAACAGGGATACACAGGACTCACACATAACTGCAGTTTTCAAAATGAAATGAAATTTAAACGTTGAAATATGTGCTTACAGAACTTAATGAGCCATCTGTTTCAGTTGTTGGCTTGTTGTGCCAATCCATATTCATGTCATGTTAATATTTCATGAATAAGATATGTTTATAAAAAAATTTATTTTAAATCTGTTTCAATTTGTCTTTCCTCTACTAACCTGCTAGGTGTCCTGACCTAGACAGTCCAACCCTAAAGGGAAATTTTAAAAGCATAAAAATATGGATCTGATGTTTCTATGCAGAATGCAAATTTGTGTGTTACTGGACTATAATTTTGACAGGTTTCATTTGTGTTCAGACACCTACTGAAGAGTGATAAGCTGTCTATAATAGCAAAAGATATGCTATAAAGTGGTACAGCCAAGTTGACATTTGTTTTTGTTGTTGACATGATGTTCATCAATAGCTTCACACTTCAAAACTATGCACAGCAAGAAACTACAAAATATCCCTTCAGAGACTTCAGGTAAATGAACAGGTGATAACTGTCTTGGTCAATAAAGTGTGAATATTGAGACAAATAATATTACAAAACATATTGATTTACCTTCTTTTTTTTTTATTTGCACATTTTTCTCAAAGTACAGGTCACATGTCACATGTAATCAACAAATATTAGATTAACAATTGCATGTTCTTAACACCTTCACGAGAATATGTATTTGTGTAAAGATGCTAATATCAGAGTCTATACAGCTATGAACATACATGTATATTGGTCTACAGTCTTTGCTTATATTCAGTGTTAAATATGGACTTTATCCAAAGCTAGTAATATATTACTAGGCAAATAAAGTATGTAGCAATGACCAAAATATTGTAAATCTATCATATGAAGAGGTTGTAAAAGCCATACATTTTGAGACATAATAGTATTGGCAGCAGATTCTTTTGATCTGGTACCATTCCGTACTTTTGGTTGTGAAAAATTGTCTGTTTAATAAGAAGCAAAATTATATTCAAAGGATCATTTCGATTTTACTTAAATCCAAATAGTTGATTTGTGGAGTAAGTTTAATCCTTATTCCAGCATCAGACATGGGCCACTCTTCAATTTTCTTCCAAATCTATTTATTGTTTGTTTGTTTGAACATATTTTATTCAATACTGAAGTTATGTAACTTATTACCACCCGCTTCAATCAGAATCATGAACAATAATGAATGGACGTAATGAATGGGCATAATAATATTAAGACATATTATTCATTAATCGAAGCGCTTACTTCGTACAATGTATTTATGCACATGTCTAAAGATATTTTCATTTATAGTATTTGGTAGAGCAGGGTTGCCGTAAAGAATGGTATCAATGTCTAAGTGAACTTTTGATAGTTCAAAGTCTTGCTTCAGATCAAGATGGCAGCTGACAAATTTTGGACATTTCAAAAAGAAATCGTTAGCATCTTCCACCGGAGCGCCACAATTGCAAGCTTTGCTCTCTGATTAATTAACACGAAAAAGATCTGCATGAAATGAACTACATGAATGTCTTAACATCGTGTGTAGTATATTTGTCTTTCTTTCACCAAATACATGTAGAAAATATTTTGGAACTTTGTCATTTTCTTCAGCTAACTTTGATCTAAACGATGATAATGAATTGGTACATTTTGTTGTAGAGGAGAGAGCATTCGATAAACTTGCACAATCATAAATAAATGACTTTTGGAGAATTGAGGTGCGAAATTTCGGAATAGCCAAATCTGATTTGTTACGCAAGTTGTATCCAGAAATGGTTTCAGTAAAAGGTGGAAGTAAATCTATCAGGTAATAAGGAGCTTGCATATTAACAAGTAGAATGTACAGAGTTTTCTTTGTGTTCGTCTAACTTTCAATGGTCACCAACCAGTGTCACTGTATAAACTATATCTTGAAGCGAATTTAGGCAATTCGGTTACAATTCTTGCTGCTTCAAGTTGTAACATTTCAAGTTTTATCACAAATAAGGCTAGGGCAATTATCCCAGACCTCAGATGCCTAATATACATTTCATACATGCTAGAAAGAATATATCTAGGTAATACGTACTTTAGCGTTCGTAATGAGGAAACAATTTTTTAGGCCTCTTCTATTACAGCCGATACATGAAAATGATACATCTGAAAAGATGACACCGAGGTGTTTATGTTTTTGTACACGTTCCAAATGTTCATTATTGAAAATTAAGTCAGGAACTTGTGGACAATTTCCATTTTTAAAAAGCATGAATTTTGTCTTATTTGGGTTAAACTTAACTAACCATTTGTCAACAAATTCATTCAATTTTGCTAAATCATAGTTAAGAGTAGCTTCTATGGTTTTTACATCTATTCCTGCAACACCAATTGAAGTGTCGTCGGCAAACAGTCTTGTGACATTTGTTAGAGTTTCAGGTAAATCATTGATGTACACAAGGAACAAAAATGGACCAAGGAGAGACCCTTGAGGAACCCCTGCAGTAACATTTAATTCTTTTGATAATGTACCTCTGATGGAAACACTCTGTCATCTATCAGATAAATAGTTTGAAATATCCATGGCTAGTTTTCTAAACTCATTAAAATGAAATCAAAGATGATTTAAATTACTTTAGGTAGGTCACTCAGCAAGTTATCATGAATAGTGGTTACCATGGTTACACATATCAGTGATATTTTGAAATGTTGTTAAAGTTACAGACATTGTGAAAATGCTAATATGGTGGACTTGATTGTAAATGATCCCAAGTGATTTTTGTATAAAATCATTTCCATTATGCTTAAGTTGGTTTTGATTAGGCATGACATAAGGCAGTACATACCTGCTTAGTAAACAAATTCAATGACATATAGTCAGGTGAGTAAAATTACTGATATACCCGCATATTTTAAAGCAGTGGGTAACGGAAAATTAAATACCCAATCAACAGTCATAATACCCACTCCAATAAAACTCAGTGGGTACAGTACCCACTTGAGACAAATCTTATCTGGAGCTCTGACATAAGATGTATTGACCAATGGCCTGTAAAAATAAAAGATTAGATGTGTTGCCCAATGGTCTGGAAAAATAATAGATAGTATGTGTTCCCCAATGGTCTGGAAAAATAACAGATAGGATGTGTTTCCCAATGGTCTGTAAAAATAAAAGATTGGATGTGTTGCCCAATGGTATGTAAAAATAATAGATTGGAAAATAACAGATAAGATGTATTGCCCAATGGTCTGTAAAAATAACAGATAGAATGTGTTGCCCAATGGTCTGTAAACGTATCAGTGCATACTAGACGTATCGCCTGAACACACCTGGAGATGTTGCACGGGAAAAACGAATACGTTTTGCATATATAAGACGGTAGTCAGCGATTCACATGGCATTCGCTCCTTTTTGCCATTCAGTGCTATTCGTGTTTAGGCATTTAGTCTACGAATGACTTTGTTGTTAGATGTGTAGGTTTAATTGGCTATTGTGGCGTTAGATTGTTGAACTTGCATTAGTATGTTTAAAGGTTAGGCAATTAGCGGTATTTAGCGGGTCATTTCATTTCAAAGTTCATTTAGAATCACTTAAGAGAATCACGTTTAGTTCTTTGTAAATTCCATAGTTTTCTCACTTATAATAGTTGTCACGTTTAGTTCCTTGTTTTAGGCCAAAAGGCAAGTTCAAAATTTTAGTTGATTAGGATTTCAGTTAATTTGCATAGCTCTGCCCAATCGTTTTATTTTCCACTGCGCAACATTTGGTAGCAGAGCGTGGTTTCTCTGGTTAGAATATTCAGTTATAGTTGTATTAGCATTTAGTTCAGACATAGAAATAGTTACTGTGAAATAACTATTCACTATGTCAGAGTCCAAGCCAACTGCTAAGTCTATGTTAGAGGTCGCTCCTGGCGAAATAGAACTGAGAATAGCCAAACTTAAGCATCAGAAGACTGTATCAAAGTCGGCTTTAACTAAAGCAAAGAACAAATTGTTGAATTTAGTTGAAATTGAGACTCCAGATCGTAAAACAATCAGGAATGCCATAGACCAGGTTAGTTCCCTGCAGAGCAAGGCTTAGGTATCATAGTTGAGTTATTAGAGGCTTACAGCTTGATTGGTGACTCTGACAAAGTTCAGAAAACTAGTAAGGAATTTGAAATTGTTGAAGATGAGATTCAACTGGCCCTTGATAATGCTGAAGGGTTTCTTAGAACCAATGCACCTGCTAGTTCAAAGGCATCGAGCATTAGGTCTGGAATATCAAGGTTATTTCATTCTGACGCAAGTCATTCGCATGAGAACTGTAAAGGTTCACAAAATGGTTCAGGCGTTAGTCAAGGTGACAAACTTACTTCACCCAACATAGGCTGTGTTTCACAAAAGTCAAATATGGTTAGTAAACTTCCACTTAACACCGAAGTGTATTATTCCTCTTCAGGTAAGTCATCTAGGCAGCACAATTTAGGTGAAGACATGTGGAAATTATTGAAGCGAGTATCCATCCCAGTATTTTATGGTGACACTAGAGAATACGAAGGCTGGAAAGCTGCTTTCATGGCATGTGTTGATAAAGCTCCAGCCACGAATGAGTATAAGCTTCTGCAGCTTAAACAGTATCTTTCTGGTGAAGCAGCACAACTTTTAGCTAAGTTAGGTCAC